TTCTCCTCGCTCCATTTCTAACCAGCCCTATGTTCCTGGGGATGTAGATCCCTTTCTTGCTTACACAAGGGCCTTAGTCTGATAAAGCATCTGCTAAGGGTGGGGGAAGGTTTTATGGGTGACCTTGACCGTGGGGAGGCATCTGTGGAGCAAATGTGGATCAGACTGACCAGGTCTGGTCCAGGCAGACATTTCTGTCTCAGGTGCACAGGCTGAGGCTCCGGGGTGAAGGGCAACTCTGGCCACAGCCTTCTCATGGGAGTGGGGTCTTGCGTGGAGAATGGCGTTAGAGCAGGGTTTTGCTGTTGTCTGGTGGTGAGCAAGTGCTTTTCTTGTTCCTAGTCCTTGAAGATGTTGATCCCAGTAAGGTGTACGTCCTCGGAGGCCTGGTGGATGAAAGTGTTCAGAAGGTGGGTAGCAGCCTGTCAAGACCTGAAGGGGCTGTCTGCCCGTTCTCTCGTGAGAGCAGAGATGTCCCATTGGTAGCACCCAGTGCTGTGCCTCTGGTTGAGACATCACTGCTTGCCACCATCCTTTGTTCCGCAAGGTTCTGCCTGGATGCAGCACCAGGCTGAGGCAGCACAGCAGCGTGGGTGCAGTGAGCCCCAGCGCAGCTTTTGGCTTCATAGCTGCCTGTACCCAAAATGACGTGCAAGTCTGTGCGCATTGGGCACCTTCTTGTTTTGCTTTGCAGAAGCTGACTTTGCAAAGGGCACAGGAGCAGTCCTTGCGAACAGCTCGCCTGCCCATTCGTGAGTACATGGTGAAAACCACTAACACCAAGAACTACCACTCAGAGACACTGGCAATTAATCAGGGTGAGCGGCTGCTCCAGCTCCTGTTGCTTGCCTGGGCTGGAGGAGGGAGGAGGCTATCAAGTGCTGAAGCAGCAGTGTTTTCAGAATGGAGGCCTGGTGCTGAGTAATGGGGGAAACAGGCTTCTCTTACTGGGTTTTATCCCCGCTGCCCCCGTTTTGAAGGTCTTGAGTGCCTCTCTGCACCAGCCCGTTCTCAGGGAGCAGTGAGTGGTAGGAGTGGGGAGAAGCGAGGAGGCTGCGGTTGCTGCGAGTCACACAAGGGCCCAGGCAAGGGAGGACAGAAGTCGTGGGGCCTGTGTCAGGCTCAGGCCCACGCCACCGGTTGGGGTGTTCCCGTGCTGTGACACCACGATGGCTCCGTGTCAGCACATCAGGGGATGTGCCCGTGCTCCTCCACCTCTGCTGGCCGCCTGTGGCTTTGTGATGTGGCTGCCTCTCTGTGAGGGACTGCAGAGGGGCTCATGTCCTAGGCCACCTCTAGTAAGTTCTTAACTCTGGTCTGGGGACTTTGCTGCCATCTCCATCAGCGCAAGGCAGAGGAGGTGGCAGAGAGCTCTGCAGAGCACCAGGCGTAGCTGCTGGACACCAGTGCGTGTCCCAGGGGAGCCCCAGTGTGGAGGCACGGCACCTGAGAAGCGATGGTGGCAGCACCGTGGGTATGACCCACTGTGGGTGCTCTGTCAGCAGCACTCGTGGGCAGTGCAGCTTAGTGCACCAGGGTGACAGCCTCTGCTTTTCATAGTCCTCTTCAAAATGGTCATTTGCTCCTAGGTGAGCTGCTGCAAGCACTTGCTCATCAGATTTTAAATGAGAGGGAACGCAGACCCCATGCTAACCTCCTCCAGCATCAGCTATTGCCATTTCCCAGTGTTTTGCGGTCAGTGGGCTGTGTGCTACAGCGCTTGCCACTGATACCTGTGTCACCTCTCTCTGTTCCCAACAGTCTTTGATGTCTTATCGACTTATTATGAGACCCGAAGCTGGCCAGCAGCCTTGAAAGTTGGAGTTTCATCTGGAAAAGGCTACGTGCTACCAGATGCAGCGAAATAAGTGGAAATACCTCAGTGTGACAATGCAGAACAAAACTTTTTTATTTTGTGGTGTTAAGGAGCTGTGCAGACAAGAAAGGCAGAGGCACCAGCATGAATGTGCGTACAGAAAATGCCTCTGCTTAAATCTTGTATAAGGGCCTTGACAAGAGTGACACATTCTACCTCAGCAGTACAATGTTGGAAATTGCTTTTCCCCTGATGATGGAGCAGTGGCATCGACCTCATTCACAGTTATCAGTTTGGAAAGGGCAGTGTCAGGAGGAAGGAGCCAGGCTCTGCTCTGGGATGGCCAATGGCAGGACAAGGGGCAATGGTCCCAAGCTGGAGCACAGGAGGTTCAAGCTGAAGATGAGGCCAAAGTTTGTGAGTGTGAGGGTTCTGGAGCATGGCCCAGGCTGCCCAGAGAGGTTGTGGAGTCTCCTTGTGTGCAGACACCCAAAGCCCTGGCCGTGTTCCTGTGTGACTGCTCTGGTGATCCTGCTCTGGGGGGTTGCACTGGGGGAGCTTTCCAGGTTCCTTCCAGCTCCTGATGTTCTGTGATTCTGTGTGATTCTATGTAATTAAAAACTGTCAGGAATTCAGTTTTGCTTCTCTGCAGATGCTTGTTAGAGTGTTTCTGACTCCTGCATCTACACTTGTTGTGGGACATGGGGGAGAGCTTTACGGTATTTCTTTCATCTTGATTAAACCATAAGTAAGGTGAAGTTAAAACTGCAGAACTCACTGGCGAGGAAAATCCCTTCCCAAGGAAAAGGACAATGCTGTTCCAGTTGGGGAATAAAAGATAGGAAGCGAATCCCCAGCAGAGCAGCAGTTCCTGGGTGCACCATGTCCTGCCAGCTTTAAACCAGCTGAAGACTCCGAGTTGTTGAAGCCTACAGCTGATCTTGTGCATCTGATCTAAAGACCGAAAATAAAACGCTTAAACTCCCGTTGCATCCTCACACTTACTGGTGCATGGCACATCACACTGACACACAAGGTTCACTAGCTCGGACGTTCCTGGTATCTGGGATTTGACTGTGCCCTGCACAAAGAGCAGTGACGTATTTCACAGCAGAAAGCATTTCTGAGGCATCTAAGTCAGTGTTACCTCAGCCATCGTTGCTGAAAGAATGACGAAACAAAAACCTCACAGTCAGTGGCTGTGTCTGACCATCAGTGGAAGAAGGACGTGAAGGTCTTTTGGGGTAAATTGCCATCTCGTTTGCTTACGTGTTTTAATTTCTCCTTTACATCAAGAGCCCTTTACACCACCTGAATTCAGTGCTCCCGAGATGGTGTCAGCAGGGCCTGCAGCAGCTGCTGGTGGGCAGGGGGGCTGGATTTATGTTTGCCGCTGCCCACTCCTGTGCTGTGCCGTGAGGGCTCCTCCAGCTCCTGCTCTCACATCCTGCTCATCCACCAGCTCTTGGCATGCAGTCAGAGCTCTGACTTGGGCGTCAGTGTAAGAGACTTGAACTTCCTGAGTTCGCCAGGAGCAGCACGCACGAACCCGAACTGGCAGTGCTGCCCTCCACAGTGGCTGAAGATGCCTTGGCCACCCTGTCCCTGTGCAGACTGCCCTGGGCTGGTGGCACACACAGCAGCAGCTGCAGAGGGTTTGGTGTGGGGCTGCTGAAGGTCGCTGAGTTCCTGAGGGCGGCTGCTTGGCTCTTGGATTCTGCCTGGTTTGGGAGGTCTCTTTGGGGTGCAGCAGCACTCCCTTGTGCCCCAGCTGCCATCCTCTTCCACACCAGGGTTCAGCTGCAGGGACTTGCCTTTAACTCCCTCTGGAAGCACTAAAGAATGGGGAAAAAGTGCGAGTGGCGTCCCTCAGCTGTTCCAGAGCCACTGGACAGTCCTGTCCCCATGGGGAGATGTGGTGAGCATGGGCAGAGCTGGCCACCCCTGGTGGGCTGTCCACACTCCTCTGCAAGCCCCTGGTGCAGACCCCTCTCTCCTGAGCACCCTCAGCTGCAGCAGCTGACCTACTGCAGCGACAGCGCGACAGGCAGCGACAACGCACCATGCAGCGACAGCGCGACAGGGAGCGACAACACACCATGCAGCGACAGCGCGCTGCGCAGCACGCCTGCTGCAAGCACCCACCAGAGAAAGCCAGCTTCTCCCAAACAAGCCCCCAGGTGAGCCACTGGCAATCTCAGACCTGCCTCTGCCCTCCTCATCAGAGGGCACCAAGGCCATGCCTCCAGCACTAGAGCGCCGGTTCATCAGGGATGCACAGTTAGGTGGCCCTAAGGGCAAACAGCTCATACCTTAGCAAGGGATATACTGCACATGAGGGAAAAAGAGCTACTGGTGAGGTTGGGAAAAGGGGCTTGCCATCTCCCAAGGCGGCCAGCAAAATGGGTCACCATCTGCACAGCTGTGAAGGTGGTGTTTCAGACCTGGGGCTTACTCGTTCCTTCTGGAAGCTGCAGATCTGTAAGTAGTGTCGGGGGGAGCGTGTAATCGGGGACTTCCTCAAGCAGAGGAGAAACAGCAGCACTGGCTGACACACAGAAACCACGTCAGAAAAGCAGGATATGGTGTTGCCTCCCTCACCTGGAACAACTGTCTCCTCTGGCCTTGCAAGGAAAAGCAGTGAAACAGAACATAGCTCTGTTCCCAAAGAGGTTTCCATTACAAGCCCAGACACATCCTTGGCCACAGAAGGTGGACAAAGCCACCTGGGTTCCTTCATGCTGGGGCAGGCTGGGATTTGATGTCGCTCTACTTCGGAGTCTGCTTGGAGAGCAAGGAGTGGGGGGGAAGGCAGGCCAAAAGGCTCCTGTCTTTCTCCACAGGTGACTGAAGAAGGCTAAGACAGCACCTTGAGACCTGCAAGGCCTTCGGGAGGTGAGGGACAAGCCCCAGGCAAGGTGCATAAGCCATAAGTATTCTATGAGTTTGCACGTTAGTATGGATTGTGAACGCACAACTAGGCAAAGCAAGGCCGAAGGGTGGTGTGCCCTGCCTTGTGTCCACCCCCTGGCACACCAAGCTGACACGTGTGGCCGTGTCCTCCTGCGACCGTTCTCGAGCTATGGGGCTAAGCATCCTAAGGGGGAGAGCCTGGTAGTGGACAGAGGGAATATGGCTGGGCTTTTCCCCAGGCAGCACACTCACGTGCCACCGAACAGCCCCATTACAGCAGTGGGGGTACCCTGACCTGCTGCAGGAGACAAAACACAGCAGCTCTGAGGGCTGTTAGCTGGCAGGCGAGGAGCTTGGCACCCAGCTCTGGGCAGCCTTGCCTGTGAAGCCACTGCTGAACAGCCTGCAGAAGCTGGTGGTAGGTGCCCACCACGTCCACAAGCGTGGCCCCGAGCTCCTGCTGCCTCTCCTTGCACAGCTGGCAGTGCGTCACCCGGAAACAGGCCACTGCCAGCCGAACCAGGTGGCCGAACGTCACCCTCAGCACGCCCTGCAGCTCTTCCAGGGGCTGCTCTGTCTTCAGGAGCTCCTGGCAGCTGGACAGCAGGTCCCGGGAGGCTACGCCAAGGGCATCCTTGCTCTCAGCGCCCTGCCCTGCGCATCGATCTTGTAGGTGGGTTGCTTGGTTCGCAGAGAGCTTCCCCACAACCTCCTGAAGCTCTGCAGTGTAGGCAAGGAAGCAGGAGAAATCTGCAGGGCTCATCTGTGCTTGGTCCTTCAGCTGGCTGAGGGCTTGGACATGAGGGTCCCACTGTGCCACGTCCCCAGCAAGGGAGACTGGGTAACTGCTCACAGGGGTCCCAGGAAGACTGCAGCTGCGGGGCGGTGGGGTGGTAAGGGGGCCCAGAAACATGGGGACGGGGGTTTCATGTTCCCCCTTGTCATTAGGCCTGTGGAAGCAGCTGATGTAGGACAGCTGACAGCTGCACTTGTCCATCCCAAGCTGAGGCGCGGATGTCGTCTTCATTGTGCAAAAACCCAAGGATCTGGTCATGATGGGGTGAGAAGGGGTCTGCTCGTCCCTGTGGTTAAAGCAGAGGAAGGAGTGTTTTGAAGCCCCACGGTCTCCTGCTCTTTTCCCCAACAAGCCCAAGGGAACTGGGCCTGAGGAGATGGAAAGCCCTAAAGATGGAGTCAGAGGGGAGTCTTTCCCCAACTCAGCAGCCTGTTCTCTGGGATGAGGAGTCTCAACAGGCCACAGGTGATCGTGAGCCACATTTCCTGCGTCTTTTCTAGGCTCTCCTTCATCCAGACTTTGGCTGCTCACTAACTCTTCAGAGGGTGGTGCAGCTTGGGATGTCTGTGTCTCCCCTCTGACAGCGTCAGCCCCCAGGCACCCACTGGTCTTCTGAGAGGCCAAAAGCTTCAGTGGGGTATCCACCTTTTCCTGAGATGGGCTGGGTGATGTGAGGTCTGTCCTCACCCCAGATGAGAGCCAGGAGAGACGAGTGATAACCCCTGACGTGATGCTGCAATCTGTTACGAGCTGGGTTGCATCTGGAAAACCCACGTAGTTTTTCTTGTGCGCTTTCCGTAAGGCCTCCTTGTTTATCCCTTGTCTGCCTTTTGCCTGTGACAAGGCGCTGTCGTCACGATTGCCTTCTCTTTCTTCGCAGGGAGCCGGGACAGACTCCTCGCACGCTGTTTGCCTCCCAGCCGTGGGGAGCAGATCCTCCTCATGGAGAGAGGCCACGCCGGGGCCGCGAGCCGACGGTGGCAGCGTGTGTTCGTTGGCAGCGCAGGTCACCTCTTGGCCCGGGAACGGGGGAACAACACCGACCTCGTGCTGGGCTGCCACCAACTCACCCACCTCCTCCAGTGCCACGTGGGCCAGCTGGCCTCTGGTGGCCACACAGCTCTCCTCGCTTAGCCACCCAGCATCTGTCTTCATGGAGGAGGCAGCTTCAGGAAGGGGCACAGCATGTGCAGGCTGGAGGCCACCGTCCACATGTATGGCAGCACCTGCACTCATCTCCCTGTGCTGGTCACCCTGCAGGCGAACAGCTGAAATGGAAGAAACCACCGAGTCAGTCACTGACTTTGTTTCCATGGTGAAAGGCTCCATTTCCATCAGGCCAGAGGATGGGTCTGTGTCTGTGCTGGCAGCGTCTCTCTGGGCCAGCATGGCAGCAGGACCTCCCAGCTCTGCATCCTCCTCAATGTCCTCTGAGGCCAGGGGAGCAGGGGGCTGAGCGAGGAGTCGTGCAGGGGGTGGCCAAGAGCAGCAGCTCTGCAGAGAGCCTGGCAAAGCCAAGGGAAAAGTGACCTGCGAGGTGTAATCAGTTTTCAGGAAAGATCTCCTCTTCCTCAGGCTCTTGGCATACGTCAGCTCCTTCTCCTTCCCATGCTTCTCCCTTGTCATCAGGTTTTCCCCCAAGCTGTAACATCTTGGTTTCTTTAGGATGCAGGAGGAGTTGTCTGTACCCTGCTGGGATGTCATATTGTAGCCTGTTGGCAAGAAGGAAAAGGAGCAAGTCAGGAAATAGCCCCAGGCATCAGAATATCCATGCATTGGGTTGAAAAGCTCTTAATACAGGTCCTGCAAATGAAAATATAAATACTTGGCAGCAAAGTCCGGCTCCCAAGTGCCAACAGAAACTGTCTCTTATGATCAAGCACCTACTTGGAATCGGGTATGTCAAGAAAAATAAAGAGTCCTGGCCTGGGGCTGCAGAGTCCAGGATCAGTGGTGAAGGGTGCTGCACAGTCTCCCGTTTACTGGAGTCACCCGGTCTGGCTGCGGGTACCACTGCAATTCTCAGTTAAATTTGGTTACATTAGCAGCAGCTACACAGAGCTCTGCCTACAGCTGCAGATTTATTAGCACTGAATAGAAACATCATCAGAAATTACCAGCCTGGCTATTTGGATGACAAAAAAGTCCAGAGATTACAATTTTGTGCCTGAACATTGTATTGTTACCATGGATTAATGCAAAAGCCAGAATTGTCCTAACTACACTCAAAAAAAAACCCCTTAAGAAGTTCAATTCATGTTGAAAGAGCTGATTATTTCACAAACAAAGGTCCTTCCTGAGAAAATGCAACTATCAGGGAGCTGCTCAGCCACAGGGCCCCTTGACCCAGGTTTGTAACGTTAATAATGTTTTGAGCAATAATGTTTTACGGCTTTTGGCTCTTCTCAGCTTGAAGGCAGACAGCAGAGTGGAGGTGCTGCCTGACAGGGGGACCATTTGCCATAAAACTCGCTGTCAGTGCAAGGACACATCTTTCCTGTGATCTGTTTCTGGTACCCATCACTCTTCTCATCAACAGCGATTCAGCCCACATAGAAGGACACACAGAACTTGTTCATGCAGGACATTGGCTTCAGGATCAGGCAGAGTCATGTGTCAGTATTCTGAACTCCTGCAGAAACCCAGGAACTTTCCACAACACCAAACTCATTTGAAAACTGACTCTTTCTGGGATGCAATGCTTGGGTGTGATGACACATCTCACTGCAAAGCTGCAGCTCTGACCCCTGTGTGCCCTTCCACTGCGTTTCTGCTGAAGGAGTAGGACTTCAAAGGTCCTTCAGACATCTCGGGAAAACTATGAAGAGCTGAAGATGATCGCTCCAGGAAGCCTGAGCAGGCAGCAGGCAATGCCCCAGCCCAGGGAGCGGAGGGAAGGCGGCCTGCAGGGCACGGGTGAGGGTTTACCTGCCACGGCATCCGGAGGGCTGAGCCTGTCCGCAGCATCGTAGAACTCCTCCTCGGAGCTGGTGTCACCGAAGCCTGGGGGTGGCTCCAAAATGAGGTCGCTGGCCTCTGCTGTTTGCACTGCTCCACACGGTGCCTCCTCCTGGGCAGACTCATCTCTCCAAGGACTTCTTTGAGGGCTGCAGCCGGCGCTGCTCCTCTCCCCACTGCCTGCCGGGGATACGCTGCAGCACAGGCTGTAATAGCCCATGGTGTTTCTCTCAGACAGCTTGGTTTCTAGCACAGATGCACCAACGTCCTCCTCTCGCTGCTCAGAGGAGCTGTCTTCACAGCCGGGCTTCTCGGCATGTGGTACCTGCAAGAAACAGAAGTAGTCTCCGCTTTCGGCCCTGCTGGAGCCTCCTGCAGCATGAACAGGGAAGAAGTTCTTGTCTGAGCTGCTCATCTCCTGCACTGTTGGCGTGTAGAAGTGGAATAACTGTGGCCCGGAGGAAGAGCAAGCTTCCAACTCATCTTCCTCCAGTGCATCCATGGAGTCGCTGGAGCCGCTTGTCTTAAACCCTCGGCTCTCGGTGTTGGCTGAATCTGAGGCATCGGATGTGCTGTCTACATTGTCCCCCCCGCTGCACTGGTCACAGCCTCCAGCCTGGGGCTCTGTGCTGTCCTTCTCCAGGCGGTGGAGCTCTCCCAACGCCTCTTCACGGCGCACAGGACGGGCACTGTATGCTACAGGAGCGCCTAAGCAGTGCTCTGAGGAGTAATCCAGCTCCCAGGAGTCTTCAGAGTCACTGCAGGTCCGAGATTCATAACCTGAGATTTAAACACATCTGTCAGTCTGCTCTTTGTGGTGGCAAGGAGGAACAGCCAGGCAAGGGCTACGGACTGGTCTGCACAGCAGGGACTCGAAGCCCAGAGAGCTCTGCCCTCACTTGCTCATCAGCATACAAGGCGAAGATGCAATCTGACACACAGGGCCGTAACCCATCAGTGCAGGGCGGGTTCCCCCTGCTTTCTTTGCCTGGTTTTACAGCAGAGGGGGGTGCAGAACAGCGGCCCCGCAACTCGCTGCCCAGAGCCTCAGCGTGCAGCCCCTCGGACTCGAGTTACCCTGCTGCGGGACAGGACAGCACGGCAGAGCAAGCCGTCCCCTCCCGAGCCAGCAGAGGGGAAGACGCTCACCAGGCTGGTAAAAGTGCTCAGCGGCACCTGTGCCACTTTGGCGTCAGGCGCTCGGCCTTCGCTTCTTGGGAAAAGCTGAGACGGCTACGGCTGCTCATGTCTGGGGTTGGGGGAAACCTGGCACTGCCTGCACCAAAACGATCTGCAGATGCCACCGCACACCCTTGGGCCACTGTTCTAGCGTGATGACATTCCCAGGAGGGAATAACACCTCTAACGCTGGAGGATCCACCCACTTTATCCCCATTCTTTAGGAAAAAAATGGCCTTTTTTTTTTAATTTAACCTTCTTCAGCTGAGACGCGGTGCAGTTGCTGTCTTTTCTCTTCCCAGGTAAATATGGAGATATGTGCATCCACAAACAGTCTGTAATAGCCAGTGATGAGGCAGACAAGATCTTTTGCATTGTTTGATTCCAGCAGCAGAGTCAGGAGCTTTTATTATTTTAGGGTTTGGGGAAGGGGGACAGGAAGAAAACAGTAGAAATGTTAGAATAGACAAATACTGCTTGTACCACAATCTGCAGGAACATGCTGCACACCAGAATGACATCCTCCCTCTCCCACACCACCATCACTGCACAGCACTCTGCTTTTGATGATGCACGAAGAAGAGAAATGGTTTTTTTCTCGCATTTTGTTTCTTTGATACATCTCACTGATGAAGGACAGCAAGGAGAATCACTTCTCTTTGGTCATTTTGTATTCTTCCTACGAGCTTTCCCTTCTGAGTCTGTCCTAAGCCTTTTGTAGTGATGAAGCCATCAGCTAAATGTCAGGTTTTTAAACAAACAGATGGTGTGAACAACTCCCCCCATATTCTCTGGCCCCAACACAGCCACATGGTGGCCATAATGAAAGCACCGCTTACCTTTAGATCCTGCAGGTAGATTTTCACCATGCTCACTTTTTCAGACTCCTCTGCAAGCTCCACCCTGCTGATATTTGCAAACTCTGCCAGACTTGTTATGATATTGAGCTTATTATTGATAATCTGGCTCACGCCGTACTTGGCACCCACCAGCAAGGCAACGTACGATTCTCTGTCCTGCAGCTGCAAGGGGAGAGGTTAAATCTGTAGCCAAAATCTGAGCAGGAACCCATCCGCCTGTGCAGGGCAGGGCCTCCTCAGCCACACAATCTTACGCGGTATCTTTGAACACCGGACGCTCTTTACAACCGGGCTGTGACCAGCTGCAAAGGGAGCCCCTCGTTACTCACAGGCCGAGGTCACCTGCTCCCGGCTGTTCTCTTCTCTGGCGCGGGGATCACCAGTTGCCCCATGCCCCCCGCGCAGGTGGCCCCAGAGACGCGCCAGCCATCTAGCGGATCCACGGAGACGGTCAGCAGCAGACGGGCCCAGCCAGACCTGCTGCAGCTGGCTAGAAACTGCAGCTTTGGTTTTGGAAGAAACGTCGACGCTTTTTGTTAGGAGCAGACGCGTAAAAAAATGAACTAAAACCCACATAATTTGGCAGAAGTGTTTAAATTTGCACACAAGTGTAAAGCTAGACAATACTGCAACCTGTCGGTAAGGTCCTCCTCGGGTACAGACCCACCTACACTGCTCAGCGCTCTGTACGAAACAGCTTGTGGTCCACAGTTCAGTACAGATCCACGTGGGGACAGGCAAAGCCACCCTCAAGAAACCTCTTGCAAAAAAAGCAGTGCTTTATTTTGCAGTGAGGTTTACGCGTGGCCAATATATTTTCAGGAGTTTTTGAAACCTCCCCGGATCTCTTAAGTACTTTACAACATACAAAATATAGACAGGACTTGTCAGAAAAGCAAGGGTCACAACTTTCAATTAGAAAAAAATACGCACAGTTACTGTGTAGGCTGGGATGTTATTCACTTCAATGGAACAACGCTGAGTTACCCTAGCAGAGTCCCTTACTGATATTTATCATGATGTCCCAGGACCGGGGAAAGTGGTGTGAGAGGAAACTGCATCACCAGAGCTAATGTTGCGTGTCCTACGAGCACCAAAGTAAAGACAGGGAAGGAGACTCGGTAAGAGGCTGTTAGTCTTCTATCAACAACCAATTTAAAAAGTACTTAAACATTTCTGCTTTAGACAGGGTTTGCTTTGACTGAGACATGATCTTACCCACTGGTGAAGAAAAAGGGTTAAAACTGCTTCCTGTGCCCCATCTTTGCAGTTACTGTCCACGCACACTGCCGTAAGAGATGCACAAAGCAAGGCAACAGACAGTATGCCAGAACCCGACGGTAGAAATAAACAGCACTCATACCATCAGCGTGGCATTGAAGATCCTCCCATTGTACATCTTCAGGTCTCCCAGGATTTGCAGGTAGCTCAGGCGCACTTGGACTGCTGCGAGCATATGCTTCGTTTTGCAAAAGAAGAAAGACTGTTTAGGAACGTGACAGACAAAGACGGTTTGCTGGGTAGCACGCAGGCTAGCAGATATTCTTTTCATAGAGGATTCAGTGTGTGACCAACACATCCAGCTTAGTCAGGATAGCCAATAGATCTGTAGAGCACTATCCCACATTACCCCATTTCCCATCTGGCAACCCCACAAGCAAACTAACACAACGCATTATGCAGGGAAATTAGGGTGCGTGTGCAGCAGAGCAAGTTACAAGAGGAGAAGATGGGATAAAAGCCCCAGGCGGTGCCATAGAGAGCAGACCCGCAGAGGAAAGACGCTGCCTCTTTGGCCCTCAGAGATGCTGCCGCCATCCTGGGCAGCGCCCTGAACCCAGGAGACAACACAGTACCTTCTGCCGAGGGTCAAGCAGCACCTGGTTCCGCTTCATGTGGTAGCTGATGGCTTTCTTGATGTCCTTCCCTCTCATGTTCCGAAGCAAAGTTGGCGAGATGAAATTTTCGATTCCCCAGTCCCTCCTGCCAGAAAGACGGGAAGAGAGCAAAGGGGGTCCCAGCTGTGCTGTCCCCCAACAACACAGGAATGTGCAGAAGGGCAAAGGCACCACGCGAGTCCAGGATGCACCGAGCCTCAGGGTGCTGCTGTGTGATATCCGGATGGCTCATGCGACACGACTGCCACACTCAGGCTCACTTCACTTCTGTGTGCATCTGCTACCGGGTCAGTATATGAGGTTGGAGGAACATACACTTTCATGCAGAATGCCTGCTTTTATGTGGTTATACAGGAGACAAATCTACAAGCCTAGTCAGCATAATGGTCCCAACCTGCCCTTGCCACCCAGGGGATGAAGATTCTGTCTTAACATTCACTTTCCTTTTAATGTCTCCAGCTCCCTAAACCCAAAATTGTGGGCCTTCTGTGCTGCTAAAGAGTTTATCCAGCCCAAGCATTAAATATCCAGGAACTAAGAATGCTGCAGTTGTCACTTCTCACTCCAGGCACAAGTGGTGTTCCCCAGGGCTCGGTTTTGGGGCCAGTCCTGTTGAACATCTTGATCAATGATCTGGATGAGGGGATTGAGTGCTCCCTCAGCAAGTTTGCAGATGACACTGAGTTGGGAGGGAGTGTTGATCTGCTGAGGGCAGGAAGGCTCTGCAGAGGGACCTGGATGGGCTGAATCCATGGGCTGAGGCCAATGGGATGAGCTTCAACAAGGCCAAGGGCCGGGTCCTGCACTTCAGTCACAACAACCCCATGGACGCTACAGGGGACGAGTGGCTGGAAAGGACCTGAGGTGTTGGTGGCAGCAATGCCCATGAGGCAGCAATGTGCCCTTGAGCCAAGAAGGCCAACGCCATCCTGGGGTGTATTGAACTCATTCATGGGATCCATTGGGAAAGGGCAGTGTCAGGAGGAAGGAGCCAGGCTCTGCTCTGGGATGGCCAATGCCAGCACAAGGGGCAATGGTCCCAAGCTGGAGCACAGGAGGTTCAAGGTGCAGATGAGGCCAAAGTTTGTGAGTGTGAGGGTTCTGGAGCATGGCCCAGGCTGCCCAGAGAGGTTGTGGAGTCTCCTTGTGTGGAGACACCCAAAGCCCCGGCCGTGTTCCTGTGTGACTGCTCTGGTGATCCTGCTCTGGGGGGTTGCACTGGGGGAGCTTTCCAGGGCCCTTCCAGCTCCTGACATGCTGTGTGATTCTGTGATTCTCACTCCACTAACTGCACATGGTTGGGTATGTCTGACTGCATGCAATGAATCAGTGGTGCGTGCATGGGCTGGCAGAGGCTTAGTGGTGCAGTTACCACACAAATGTCTGTTACTCAATGACAGGCTCATTAGTTCTTAAAGCAGGGTTGTTCTTCAGGACGAGTCTGGTCTAACAGCACTGACGTACAGCACAGCAAAACTGCTGCTAGTGAAAGCACTTTTCAGTATTTTCTTCCAGATCCCATTACTTCACAGACTCTATCACTTATACTGAAATTAGATAATTCTGATACAGTTCTGGTGGATGAAGAGATGTAAAGTACAGGCTGTGCAAAGCTGATTATCCTCTCTCTTTCAACTACTGCATTTAAGTTGGTATAATGGCAGAAGCAGCCTAAGTTACCGTAAAGATTTTCAATTCCATGTCCCTAGTTACAGATCAGACCCTCCCTCTACTTAGGGACATGCCCAGATGTTATGCTGTCCATATAACTCAAGCAGCTCAGCAGGTTAGTGACAGGGAGGCTTGTGAAGCCACTTTGCCCTAACATGACTGTCACAAGTAAGAGACTGCAGGCTCTTTGGGTCAGAGACAGCCTTCTGCCCAGAGCTAAACACTGGGCAAACATACGGCTGATGCCACTCTCAGTTGGCTCCTTCTTTTGCCACGCTCAGTCACAACATAACAGAAATCTGGGAACTTACTCAATGTATTTCAAGGATACTTTCTGTGGCTGAGCACAAGCGTAGATCCTCTCCTGTATGTGCAGAGCAGCCAGACGTAATGCCACACTGCATTTCATTTCCACAGCAAATCTTTCTTGAAGCACATCGCTGCAGCTCTGGAACAAACAGGACTGAGTTAGCATAGTGACGGCACCTCAAGAAGGCAGAATAAGACCTTTGATACGACTACTGCGTGTCAAATAAAGGGAGCCACCCAGCTCGTTTCAACCCCATTCTGTTAAAAAGCCAAGCATATAAGCTGATTTCAGAATTTAAAGCAAATTGGATCCAAATACTCTCTTTGTAAGTGTTCTGCCTTTCATATTCATGTAACTGAACTGGCCTGAAATATGCTTTGTTTTAAAGCAGAAATGAGAACTGGGTGAGAGGAGATCCTGAAGCATGGAATGCCTCAGTTTCACCTGCAGGTAGAGATATTCGAAGGCAACTGGGTCTTCCTGCAGGAGGTCTAAGGGATCCTTTGGGACAAAGCAAACTCTGAAGAGGCATCGGTAGTCATGAGATTCTCTTTTTTGGACCACCTGCAACAGACAAATGGCATCATGTCACAACTCCTGCTGCAGTCCCCCCCTACAAAAATGCATAGGAAGTCTCTGGCTTTTATGAACTCCCAGAAATCATTTAAAGCTACTGGTAAGTGGGATGACTGCAGATCAGTCATCATCCTTAGCAACTACAAGGAAACATTGCTAGTGTTTGCAATTTTATCTTCGATTCTTCCTCTGGTTTTTGCTTCTTCCTGTGGTAGCTTGGAAGTCCTTTGACAGCAGAACTTAATTAAATATCCACTGATCTCATACACTTGCAGTATAACTAGGACAGAGGCTTCAAGGCCATATGATAATGACAGAAGGAGGGACGAGCTTCTCTGCTTTTAAGTTCAGTCATAAGATAAAGCAGCCCTGAACAGACACTTGGATCATCACGATGATGTCAATACAATGTTAAGACCCATGGATTATACATTAGCATATTTTATTCAGGGCAAACCTCCTGCCAGCTTACCAACTGAAACAAAGCAGAAATTCTCAGGCACGTGCGCTCAGTGGATGGACAGCGTTAGCTACCAAAGCTCTCTGCATCGCAGTGGATCACCAGCCAACAACGTCAACAATGTGGAGATGAAACTCCCAAGTAGGCACCCCCATTCTCACAAATTAGATTAGCTCAGAATTACTAACAGAGCTAACCTCCTGTTTACAGGACACACACTTCTGGTTTAGAATTTAATCGAAGTGGCACAAGACTGGGTTAAATCCCTGACTACCTTGGGAACTGTAAATAGCTGGGCATGCAGCTATTCTAAGGCTGTCTCAAACAGTCCTCTGTAGATGGCCTATCTATTGGCACAAAGCATGCTCAACACAGTTGAATCCAAGCACAGACACAGGCCAAGCAACACCAGCCCATGGGTATCGCTCTGCGGGCTCTCTAAACTGAGCGAGACACTTCTGAAAGTGCCATTTCCCCAGGGGCTCTGGTCAATGCAGTGGTAACACACGCAAGAGGACAGCAGGTCTGGAGACGGGGCCAGGCTCACTCCTTCTTGTGACACCTGCAGAGCTGAGCTCTCTCTGCACCTCCACTGGTCCTGGTACCTCTGCAGGCGAGGGGCTCCTCTCACCTGCTCGATGAACTCCTCCTCATGCAGCAGGTGGATCTTCGCCACGTTGTACTGCTCCTCCAGAGCGAGGGCAAAGTGTGTGATGCTCCGGATGGAGAGCTTCTCCTTCAAGGTGAGAACAATGTCCTGAGAAGGGAGGGCACACAAATGGTCACACTGAGCTGAGACACGGCGGCTGAGCAGTGCCAGCACAGTGCACGAGTAAGGATGAGACCAGCCTGCTGCTGGCTGCTGTGTGGGGGAGCACTCAAAGAGTAGACCCAAAACCCACTGCAGCCAAGAACATGCTTGGTGCTGCAACACAGAGCAAGATTTCTAGTGCTTTTTCACAGGAAACCAGCGCCTGTATCATGTACTGCCTTTCCCTGATGGCAGTCAGCTGGGAAGGAAGTCACAGGAACTGCAGGGGAAGGAAGGAAGTAAGTCACGGGAACTGCAGGGGAAGGAAGGAAGGAAGTCAAGGGAACTGCAGGAGAAGGAAGGAAGTCACGGGAACTGCAGGGGAAGGAAGGAAGTCAAGGGAACTGCAGGGGAAGGAAGGAAAGAAATCAAGGGAACTGCAGGAGAAGGGAGGAAGTCACGGGAACTGCAGGGGGAGGAAGGAAGTCACGGGAACTGCAGGAGAAGGGAGGAAGGAAGTCACAGGAACTGCAGGGGGAGGAAGGAAGGAAGTCACGGGAACTGCAGGGGAAGGAAGGAAGTCAGGGGAACTGCAGGGGAAGGAAGGAAGTCACGGGAACTGCAGGGGAAGGAAGGAAGTCAGGGGAACTGCAGGGGAAGGAAGGAAGTCACGGGAACTGCAGGGGAAGCACAGGAGGCACAGACAAAGGGAGGACAACTCATTTCAGCAGATCAGGGGGACAAGGTAGGGAAACTGAAGCTTGCTGTGGTAGGAGTGCTGTAAGATGCAGACTCCAAGATGTAATAGGCATCAAATCCATTTCCTAAAGCTGCATCTCCTGGGCTGTTTCACGCTGAAAGGTTTTAGTTTGGTGGTAACGAGCACTTTCTGTCACTCTTGATCTGAATGTCTGGTGTTAGCCATTCCAGCTTTCTAGAACTCTTTGACACTTTTTGAAGAACCTAACAAGGACTTGTGAAAAACATTTCTCCCCACCAATAAACAAGAATTTGAGAGTATAATTGTAAAAATCTTACCAAATTGAACTGAAACTGGTGTTTCAGTTGTATTCTGCTGGAACACTAAGTGTCATGGAAATAACTAGGTTTAATTTTGGCAAACAGAAAACACCACCTAAGGTTTGACTGAGTGCAAACAGAAAGAGAACTCCTCTGAGTTCTCACTCAGGCCTCTTGAGGTAAGCATAAATGTTTGACTCACCTCAGTTTCAAGCAAGGATCTCTCAAACAGCAGAGGAACTTTCGCAAACACCTAACTTGGGAAGCATTTCACCCATCTGAGTGGTTCTGTGAGGGTGCCGGCGAGGGCCGCACTCAGCTCCAGCAAGGTAAAATTTGTTACGGGTCAGAGAATTCAGGTGGGAATTCAAATCTCTCTTCACAACTCATCTCCCCTTCCCTTACTTCCTCCTTGCTTTATTTCATTATTCTCCTTTTCACAAGACTTGCAGAGACTTACTTGCACGAGAGACCACAACAGTTCTGTGAAGTCTGGACAAACTAGACAATAAACTCCTTGTTTCTGAGGAAAGTTTTCTGTGCATTATAATCTCCTTGCTTTTCCCCTTAATATTTTTCAGCCTGATAACTCCAGAATGTCTGTCCACCATGCATCTTATCCCCAGTAACTGCACTGGTACAGGATATCATATATCCCTTAATGAAATTACGGCCTCCAATCACTGTGCACGGGCAAATCTTATTAACACCAACATAAACACTGAGCAAGTCAGTCAGATCAGGCTAGGAAAAACTGAGAGTTTGCAAGCCTACGTCTAAACACGGAAGTTATGGAAAGTGCTAGATTAATGGTTCAGGAGAGCAGCAGCTCACGTTTTGAAGAGAATGATGGTAACTTGTCTATAACGCCTCCAAGCACAAGAGATAGTAGTGAGGTGGCACCGCTTTTCTATCTCAAAGGGTTCATAAGTGTTCATGATTCCACCGGGAAATGTTTTCACCCGTGCAGAAATGAGGCTGTAACGTGGACAGGCACTTTAAGTAACAGCTGGCACAACTGCACAGCTGCTGAGTTCACACGGTACCCAAACCTGGGCTCCGCTGTTCGGGTCCCAAGCCAAGACACTTGTTCTCCTCAGGGATGCACACTGTCCCAGCGATATTAAACAACCTCCTCTGTATTCTGCCACGTGGTTTCCAAGGAAAAGGGTGGTGTCAGTCCCCCACCAACCTGTCCTCTTTGCCCAACCTCAGTCACACTTCACAAAGCTGCAATGGTCTCGTAGTCAAGTTCCTGCAAGTTCTGTGAAAATCAGTTGCTAAGAAGAAAACAGAGGTGAACCAAAGCAGTGCCTCCTTGGCAGGAAGGCCATGGCAAATCTAGCATGCTCAGCATCAGCCAGCGATCCAGCTCATACTCGCTGGCCAATGCAACCAAGAGGCTGCAAGTTCCACTGCATGCACATTTGCTACGGGATTTAATTCAGGTGGTGGGAACAAAGACACACAACCAAGCATCATTACCTTCACAGTAGTGCTCTTCTCAAACCTGAAAGCCTTCGTCTGTCCATTTTCCAAGTATACCTTGAGAACGTTGGGCATACAAAGAAGAGAGCTCCCCTGCAGAGCAAAAGCAATAGCACTAATCCTTGGACATCAGGCCTCCGGGCACCAGGCTGCTCTGCCTGACACAGCACATCCTTGTACAAATGAAAATCTTTCTCTGCTTTTGCAATCCTTTTCTGTGGCACCAAGCTTTATTTCCCGATTATGGGAATGGGGAAAAAGGGAAAG